TATTTGCTTAAATTATTTTGTGTAAAATATGTTGCGAAAATAAGATAAAAATCTCCGTGTAAACTGAAAAGAAATAATTTGAGAAACGTTTTTAAAATATGGTTTCAATAAAAAAATTGAGGAATTCATGTCGACATTTGGCTGCCCAAAAAGATGACAATTTGAAATTTTTGACTGAATAGATTCGAATAATTTCCTATTCGATTCGGTTTGAATATTTGATTCCAAGAGCCCCGCCCTCGTTAGAACCAGACCTGTGGAGTGGGAATTTACTGTAGTCAGTGCCGGAGTCGTATTTTCAATTTTCCGGAGTCGTGAGATAGATGGATTTGAAATTCTGAATTCTTCGTGGTCAAAAATAGCAGTTCCAGAATTTAAGTGGTTATTGTACAAGTCAAATTTTCATTAAGAAGCCAGGAAGTTTTAAGTTTTCCAAGCGCTTCTAACTATCTATTAAAGGAGGCTTGCACACGCTATGTTTTTATGTTAAAATATGAACTTTCGATGTTCGGGTCTCCCCATCCTAAAATCGGGTATTATGAAGGAGATTTATATTGTTTCTAAATCCAAGTTAATACCAGAAATGCTTGCTTATTAGTTATTATTTGAAAAATTCATTTATGACAGTAGAATATGTCTCACGAAAATATGCCGAACTCCTATATGACGCCATAGTAGATTTCCCGTTACGTATAATACAAGATATGACATTGTATCATGACAACGCACTTTTTAAATGGCAGCCCTTCGCGGAGTCGGAGGCCAATAGTGCCAACTAGCGGTGATAGATATCAGTGGCTGACTGTAATCGAAAGATGTTTATAGCCGTAATAAAAATCGATATCAATGATTTTTTTATCTTCGGGGAGAGAAAAGCCGACAAGTTGGTCATAATCAACCATTTCTTTTGTAATGTCGTTTACGCCGTAAACAAAGACGACAATTTTCAATTGTGTACATACGTATTGTGACGCATCATAGGATTTCTACAAATGTATTATGATGTAACATTAGACGTCTTGTTTCACAATATACGAACGATACAATGATATGCGAGTATTAGAAGCCATAGATCATGCTTGGGTCGGGCCATATTATATTATATATACGCTTTGGGTCGGGCATGCCTAAGTTGTATGTATAACGTATAAGTAGCCTATCTTTGTTAGATTGCAACATAGTTAACTCAGCTTTCCTAGAAGAAAAATCAGGAGAATAATTCAGTATAGAGAAGTTCCAGGACAGTGGTAAGAAGTCGGGTGTAGTGTGCTAACATCATAACAGGACTCGGGACCTTGCTTTGAGCAAACTTACAACTCTTCTATCAGTACGGTACTCTTTTCCACCCCTTGTTAAGGGCTCTAGTCCTTGCTTTGAGCAAATTTGAGGTGGTGGGCATGGAACTTGAACCAGACATTTGTAACCTGAGACGCCAACAGGAACAGGTCTGAAATTTCTGATTGCCAAGTTAGAACGTAACAGTCAGCGGGTACTAGAGCTAAGATCTCTGGTCTGAAATATTAATCATTACGTTCGGGTCGGGCCTGAAATGACAATCATTACGTTTGGGTCGGGCCTGAAATGACAATCATTACGTTTGGGTCGGGCTTCTCTATCGCTGACTTTTTTGTAATAAATATGTTTTTAAAAAAATCTATGTGTGGATACTAAACAGAGGAATAAATAATAGGAATAAAACAGAGAAGAAGCTTTAATGGAATTTTCCTCAACTTTTGAATCCCAAAAATATTCTTCCAATACTTTACCATAACCGGCTCGGGCCTGCAAATCCAGTTAATTAGGCGGGCTCAGGTCGGGTTTAATACCCACGGGCCCGATCTTACCTCTAGCGGGTACTACCGAAAGCCGGAAAACGTGGGTTTTCATGCGCTTGGAGTATCTAAAAAGCGTTTCAAGCTACGAAAAATTGCTACGTATGATACAGAAATATATACCGGTATTCAAAATTTTACTTTCGAAACCCTTATATCATAGTTTGAGTCCTGCTACCACGAAGCTGCATTTGAGCAGGCATTTCGTGGTGCAGGTCTTACTTAAAAACCTGAATGTTTATGGAGCCTGAGCCCGGCTCAGTTGTACAAAAACGAAGCTCCGGAGCTGGAGCCACTGTGATTTCGAACCATATACCTAGCCCTTGCTCTAACCCAGGGGTGGGCAAGGTTTTTTGTACCAGGGGCTTAAAAAATTTTGCCCATCTATACTGGCGGGCCATGTAAGTGTGACGTTGAAAGTTACATTTTATAAACAATATTTATAATGTTACAAAGCAAACGTGAAAAACAATGAATCTCGTATATAAACTAAATTTAATCGCAATCTCACAAATTCATTGAGTTATTTTTCAGCCAAAACATCAAAATTCGGCTTTAGTTTGGTTCTGGCAGCATCAGTGGGCCAGATTGAATTACCCGACGGGCCAGATTTGGCCCGCGGGCCGTTGTTCGCCCATGTCAGATTTTTCCACTTAGACAGCGCACCCACCTATCCAGTTTCCACCATTCGTCCCGGTATATGTTTTCAGTTCACTCATGTTTCAAATGAGTCACCAAATTTTCCCCTTCATAACAAAACATTCTAAACTAACTGGACATTGAAACTGTACTTGTAATACTGATACAAAATGGAAACATGACGGAAAGAAAATAAAGAAGGTTTTTAAATTTACAATTAGGGGGATGAAGTGGTAAGATTTTGGTCCCTCAAAGCGGTAGCCCTTTATATATCATGCCTATGTTCCATGTGGCTTTTCCACTGGTAGGAAATTACCAACAGTTTATAAACGCGAAATAAATATAAGAAATACGATACTCCCGAAGTATGTGTACCATGTTAGGGTCAGGCCATAATTTTATTCCCATTTTTTTATTTTAGTTCTATTACGAGTTTGACGACTAGCCAAGCGGCTCCTGTAGTATTTGTACCTAAAATGATGGCCTAACCCCAACCTGGTACACATGCCATGTTCCGGTGTTCGCCATCTCGGTTCACATACTTTGGGAGCCCCAAAAATACTGCAGAAAGGGAACAAGTGAAAAAAAACGATAATACATGTTTAGGTAGCATACAATTTTATAAATATCAAAGGGGAGAGGAAAGCCTAATAGACAGCTAACCCAGAATGCTTTTCAGAATGAATTGTGTACAGTCTAACGTTATTGGCTCCACACATTTCCAAGAAATCAAATTAAATAAACATTCTAGAATTCCCTTTTCTAAAAGATCCAATGCCAGATAAGTTGCAGCAAATTGGCTAAATTTGACAAAAATTAAGATTTTATTCCAATCATAGAATTTTTAAATATGGGAATATCAATAAAATTTATGTCAAAAAAAAAACGGTCTGAGTTTTATGAAAATCTCGCGACCCAAACATCGGGAAAATGTGTTTTCCGATTTGGTTTGTGTGAAATAGACAAGACACAATAAACCAATTATTTTGAGGTCAAGCCAAATGAAATGCCGCAATAATTAAGTTGCGATTGATTTTCGAAAATAAATTTCAACAGATTTGAGTAACCTCGGCGTGGTTCATGATTGGGTCAAGGCCCAATATACTTTAGGAACCCCATGGTCTAAAAGTTGACAACGAATGCGAATAATAGATTTCAAAAGCGAAAATAATTTACTGAATTTTTTGAACGGTAAAATCATAGCAAAAGTATTACGCAGTATATTTGATATAACACATAATTTCAATATGCAGTAAAAAATTTACAGAAAAAAAAAATTCCATTTCTCTTGAACAAAAAAAAAAGTAATTTTAAATTCCTGCTCTTATAAAACACACTATTTAAAGTATCCAAAATACTTTTTCATCCCAATTCCAATAACACCCAATAAATCCACCCATCACACTACCCGTGGGGGCTTAAAATGGATAATAGTATAACACTAATTCAAGAGAATGCCTATTCAAATATTTTTCAAACAAACAGAACAATTTCTTTAGCAGTGTTTCCCAACTTTTTATGGGTCGTGGCCCCCTTCTGGAAGGGTTTTAGATCTTGCTACAGCATCCTTGCATTATATGTATGTGAATCACCCAGCAAAAGCAAGAAAGCAGAGATAAGTAGGAAGTCCCATAGAAAAAACAATCGATAGAACAAATTGAAACTGCAATGCAAAATTCGAAATTCAAAAATGGTAAAATGGACATGTTTTTAGGATAGCGATAATGCTAATGCCCATATAAAAAGTGTGGCACCATGTTACGTAAAGCCCCACGGATGATATTATCAATAATAAAAACACAAAGTAATGACTCATTTTAAAAAAGCTTTTGTGGTAACTAACTACAAAATGGGTTCATTAAGGTATAGATACATATAGTGGAGGCTGTGGAGCACAATACCATACAAGGCCCCACAGATAATAGTGCGAAAAACTTATAAATACGAAGAACTAAATCACAGATCGTTGCACCATTTTTTTTTCAAATAACATCTCATTTTCTAAAGCGTTGGGAAAAGCATTCAAGAGGTTATAGGTGAAGTGAGGCACCTTAGCACAACATGAATCATAGTGTCATATCATAGAAACGCTATGTACTATAGCACAACTTGTTTTGCACCATCTTCTACAAGCTTGTAGCAGCTGTAAATGGATTGCCGTGGCCATATAAGAGTTTGAGTGACGGAATTCGGCCGTGCGTATTATGCATGGACCCTTGTATCTTCATACAATCCACACCCTAAACGAGCCCTGCGTAATATACACGGGTGCGTGTTACACACAGAGAAATACGGTACCTAAAATAGTAACTTGCAGAAGCTGCAGTAAGAGTCCACTATTCCCTATTAATTCAGAATTTTGAACGGAACTTGTGCAGTGCCTCAGTAAGAGCAATCAGTAATGCAAAATCCTCTTGGTAACCAGTGCAGGTCTCCAGTATGAGACATGCTAGGCCTAAGTACCATTTCTCCTTAAAAATAAGACCTAGCCTGAATTTAAAAAATGATTTCAATATAAGCAAGGAATCTCTTCTACACGTTTTGAATGATTAATCTAAAACATGTGAGAGAGAAAGAGGTTCAGTAATCTGAGGTAAATGAAAATAAGAGACATCCCACAAAAGTAAGCCCTAGTGTTATCTTTTGAAAGAAAATTGGAACAAGACACTATCTCATTTTCGAGGAAATGCGGCGTGAGCATTATTAATAAATACCGTATTTTTCGGCTAATAAGTCGCTTTTCTAGACCCAATTTTTTAGCATTATTTTATTTGGAGGGGGGGTCTTATTGGGTGGCTATGTTTGTTTTACTTTTTATGGGGTCGCTTATTTTTGGTCTCCCCAAATATGACCAACAGAGAAGCAATTTTTCTTCCAGTCTCATTGGAGGGTTATATAGAAAAACCCTCTTATTCAGTGCTAAAAAGAGGCTTCGCTTCGTCTTATTTGCCAGGTAGGCTTATTCGCCGGGAAAACAGCTTTCATGGAGCCTGGACTTGTTTTGGTTTCCAATATGAAAGTTTGTGCAAAGACCCAGTGTGGGGCCGCTAAACTTGGTTTTGTTGAATCTCCACAATCACTGCATCATTATCTCGATGCTGAGGTGAGGTTACTTCGTTTGAACTTTGGACTGAGACGTCATCATCTAATGGGGTATCGGCTGAAAAACATGGAAGTTTTCATGATACAAATCCCAGGGAAAAGGGTACTCACGAAGTATGTGAACCAAGATGGCAGACACCGGAACGTGGTATGTGTACCCGGTTAGGGATTCCAATTTTCCTTATTTTAGTTCTATTACGAGTTCGCAGACTAGTCAAGTGACTCCTGTAGTATTTGTACCAGAAATTATAGCCTAACCTGGAACGCATACTACGCTCCGGTGGGCGTCATCTTGGTTCACATACTTCGGGGGTACCGGAGAAAGTGTTTCTGTTGAAAACTTGCAAACTAATAAAATGATTTTCAGCCAGTGTTCTGTGAATGACATTCAAGGGTTTCGTATCAAATTGTTGTTTCTAATTATTTCTGACTGACATAATATGTATGATAGAAAATTTAACTCCAAAATCTATGAATCTAGTTTTAGGGTTTTATGACATCATTCTGGGGTTTTATGACATCATAACACAAAATTATTTAGCTATAAGAGATGCGAATAACCACAGATTCTCTCGAGTGATATATATTGTTTATAAACAAAGATCCGAAAAAGGCGGAAATACGCACCATTTGCCTCATCAGGAGAATTACTCTTTACAAATATAACTCTGTTGTGAGCTTTGAGACGTTTCCACAGTTGAACATACACCTGGAAAAGAGGAGAGAAAGTATAAAGCAGTGGTTCCCAACCTTGACATGGGCCCCTTCCAGAGGTTTTTAGCCCTCATGTCCCCCTGTTTATCTTTATAGTGAGATTTTGATTGTTAGAATCCAAATCTCATTATGGTCAAACAATCTATGCTTAATTAACAAAGTGAAAACACCCTGTGAAATATCAGCAATGAGACTACGATTCTAGGAAGAAAGGGGAGTTTTCATGTAAAGTGAATTTAAAATTAGTTCTGCGGCTATCATTGTGTCCCCTTCCAACTGCTCTGTGGCGCCGTTGGTTAAGAACAAGGGAGCAATCCTTTAAAATATATAGAGACGCGATGGAAGCACGTCGGCGCTGGTAAGGCCTCAGCTGAGCACCGAGTTTGCCGAAAAGATCGATGAACTAACAATACAAAAAATGGTTTCCTAATCAATCAAAATTAATCACAACCACTCACTATGGCATAGACCAAAGCTGCCCAACTATTTTAACTGAAGGTCCGCATACAAAATTTCAAAAATATTTGGGTCCGGACTTTCCAGAAATTAGATTTCGGCATCAATAAACACGCAATTCCTAGGCCGACTAATGATTATTTGCTAATCAAGATTGTTTATTATGGCGTTATAGTTCTTTTCATATATATTTTCAAATCTATAGATGTGATTTTATAAAAGGAAACTTCAAAAGTGGGGCTAATGATTCAAAATAAAGAATTATGCACGGTCGGAATCGAATACCTGAAAGGTCCAGATTCGGACCGCAGTCCGCCAGTTGAGTAGCCCTGGTATAGACTAGTGGTTTTCAACCTTTCTGGTGTAAAGCAGGGATGGTCAATTACTTTTCTGAGTTGGCCAGTTACAGTTAGTAGACTTGGTTACTGGGCCGCGACTCAAAACATTTTATTTACAACATCTGGTCCAACAGCTAGGCTAACGTTTTTATAATAAAAAGAAGCACAATGTAACACAATAGGGGTCATTAAGATACCACAAGCGGTAATTTACCCACCCCTGGGTTATGTGCACCCCCAGCTAGCTGTCTTATACATACCTTGCATTGTACGTACATGAACACAAGACCTCCGGTGAAGCCAATGGCGACAACGACTAGTTTGGTCCAGAATGGCCATTGAAGTTTTCCTGAAATATATTGAAGATAGATTATTATTAAGTAAACCAGCCAGATTGTATCAAAAAGTAGATGAGATTTTGAGAATCTCTATTATAGGGGACGATTATGTGGATGGTTTGCAGGATGGTTCACGTTAACCACTAGTTGGTTATTATTGAAGCTTCGTCTTAAGTCCAAGTGAGCACGATAACCTAGTGCAGTGATTACCAACCTTATTTGTTGAATACCTTACTTCGTCTATATCAGAAGTCTTTATTTCCTCCGTACTATTCATAGAATCTATTTTAGTTTCATCTTTAATAGATCCTTAGATAGTGTTATGCCAAGTCGTAATCCCGTTCATGTATATTTCTAAAGCCTAGCTGGGAGTAAAATTTGAAAAACACCTCATGAAAAAGCAATAAGCAAAGATTCCAATTTGTCTAAAAATGGTCGCTACCTATATGTCAGTTATTAGATGCTCAGATTAAAACAATATGAAAACACTCACCAACTTTAATCTCATTGGCCGTCCTTTCAATCAATACATAGAGAGACCAAATCACACAGGTTATGGCAATGACATGGAACATAACGCTGAACATGATCTTCCTTCTCTCTGTTGTTGACATTGTTAGTTTCTTCCACTAGAAAAAAATAAAGATTTTTAGATTTTGGAGGAGTTAAAAAATGATTAGAGGACTTGATCGTATGATGAGTCGCAGCATGTCAGTTAGTGATAAAACAGAATTGTTAAAGAGGATAAGATATTTAGTTTTCGTCTGGGGAGAGGAAAGCATATAAGATGCCTTAATCATAGGATATTCATATCACAGAGGGGAAAAGTCAACAAGATGGCTGAAGCATATGGAAAAATGATGGCTTAGTGCAGTGGTTCCCAACCTTTGTGCCCCCTTTTGGAGGCTTTCAGCACTCATGGCCCCCTGTTTATCGTTTCAGTGGCATTTATAGTGTTATTCTGATTGTCATATTCCAAATCCCATTATGTTCAAACAATTCATTCTCAACAAAACGAAAACACCCTGTGAAATAACCTTATCAAGATATGAAACGGGGAAGAACAAAGAGTAATCTTGTAGAGGAAAAAGTAAAATCAGTTTTGGGACCTGCTGAAGTATGCGCACCAAGATGCCGCACAACCTGAACTCAGGTTGTGTACCAGGTTAGGGTTCAGGTTATGCGACATCTTGGTGCGCATACTTCAGGATTTTCCAGTCTTGTGCCTAGCATTGTGGCTCCCCCCCAACTGCCCGGTGACCCCCATGGCAGGCCACGAGCCCCGGTTGAGAACCGCTTGCTTAGTGCTATATATGTGTAATGAGGCACTTTCTGTACTTATTAGATATTAAAAGACGTGGATTGCAACAAGATATCATATCGGCTTTCCCTTCACCGGGACGCATACAAAATAATTAAACCCTATGAAATAGTCAGAAAAAAAAATGTAGCAAAACTACGGATTACTGCTATACATTCATAAAGGAGTGACATTTGCTTCTGTAATTAAATGTTATTACAGGGCGTTTCTCCTTATTAAAATCAATTTCACTAAAATGGTTTGTTGAGTAAGGTTATCAGATTAATAACCTTATTATTAAAAAATAAGTATGTGCGTGGAAAGGTGAAGTATCTTATAAATAAAAAAAACTGACGTTATTACACCACATTGAAAATTCACCAAAAAATTATCCGTGACTCTATGAATTGAGTTTGTCAAATATTTGTGACCTTGTGAATTCATGCGTGAAAAGCCACCTCACTTATTTGAGCTTTACCTACTTTTGTACTAGTGAATATTGACAAACGAACAATGAACATACTTTCCGAAATGGCATCAACTTTAAATCCATTATAAACTGGTAACCACACAGCTCGCAGTGTCTGGAGTCTGAAATGCAAAGTATATCTGAATGACATTGGCGAAAATGAATAATATAATATTAGGTGTCCATAAAGTCCTATTTTTTTTAAATTGCAAAGGGAATTTATCGATACCATAAATTGTTTTGGCCCTCACAGATGTATTAAATGAAGTAAAAATACTTGAACAACTTCTGTCTAAAATACAACAAACCTGGTTGAGATATATTGAGAACTGACTTCATAACAAAATTGAAACTGTAAAGGGAATTTATGGCGGCAAGGGGCGAATACTGGTACATATAATTAAGCTAGCGGTATAAATGAATTGTTACGAATATACATGCGTTTAAACTGTGATAATGAGGTAACAATTGGCGATAACTAAAACACAAGAATATAAAACAAAAAGTGTTAAACATTTCACTCGAGTTTGGCGGACCATATTAAATCATGATTGCCGTGATTGTGTGAACCACTCTACATTGATAAGCCTATAATAATCGCCACAATATTCGACCCTGCAAATCAGCTACCAGTCCATGTGACGTATAGGAATAGCAAACCAGTTTTACCTGAGCTCTTGATCCACTGTTGTAAACAAGCCTGATGAACGTAGCGAAGACTCCCACGACAATAACAAGGGGCAATCAGCGGACCAATCTCTGCGTCTCCTTCACAGTGACATATTCTACAGAAATCCATCTGAAAAATGGAAAGTTGAACAAGAGTTATACTCAAATTTAATGAAAGGCTTAGTGAATGTCCAAAATGAATCAAATATATTCAAAATTCGGTACTCCCGAAGTATGGGAACCAAGATGGCGGCCACCGGAGCGCAGTATGTGTACCAGGTTAGGGTTAGGCCATAATTTCAGGTACAAATACTAGAGGGGTCACTTGGCTAGTCGTCGAACTCGTAATAGAACTAAAATAAAAAAAATTGAAATAAAATTATGGCCTAACCCTGACCTGGTACACACACTACATTCCGGTGTCCGCCATCTTAGTTCACATACTTCGGGAGCACCAAAATTCATTATATTCGATTCGATATAGTAAATATTTGGATTTATCAATAATTTAGAACATTTTTATTTAATAATCGAGGATTTCGAGCCGTCAGACAAGCAGATCAAAATGATCGATATCTCAACTGGTAAAAAACAACACTGAAAAATCAATGACTTTTTATATTTGTGTCGTTTAAGATGTAAGCAAAATGTCAATATATGTATCCAAAATAGTAAAATATACGATTTTGGCCATTCTTGCTTAGTGGTTAAGGTGTAAACTTTTGACCCAACTGTGTCAGCATCACAGATTCAAAATCTCAGCATTAAATTCCTGTGCTCACCACATTAACCAGGGTGTAATGCAGCTGCCACAGAGCAGTTGAAGGAGGGCCACAATGCCAGGTGCAAAACTGATTTTACTTTTCCCTTGACACGAAAACTCCCCGTTATTCCTAGTTTAATTGCTAAATAAAGTGATTTCACAGGGTGTTTTCACTTCGTTGAGCATGAATTGTTTGAACATAATGGGATTTGGAATCTACCAATCAAAATAACACTCTAAATACCACTGGAATGATAAACAGGGGACCAAGGCCTCCAAGATGGCAGCTCAGGCCATAAAAGATTGGGATCCACTGGTGTAATGAATTTGATATGTAATGCTGAACAAAAAGACTTTCACCGTCCAAAACTAGAGGTCATTACTTATCGATTTTAATCGGTAAGTATGTTGATAGGTATTTGTCTGTCTGTCTGTCTGTTAGATGCACGCGATATCTCACGAAAGCGAGATTGAATCTGCTCCAGATTTTGCATGTGCATTCATCATATGTCGAACCAAAAGCCTATTGATTTTGGATGAATTATGTCGTATAATTAGCGAGTTATCAATCAATTAGTGATCAAGTGATCTAGATTTTTGTAAAGCGAGAGGATTTTGAGATCCGCCGAGTGTGTGTGTGCGATGCGCAGTGCGCAAGTTACAAGAGCGGATGAATCGAAACCGCAGTTTCTGTTTTGGGGGATCCCCTAACTCTCGATCGATAAGTCTTCGGTTTCCAATCGATATTCTCGTTTACATCTCAGTCCCTTTACACAACTTGATGTTAAGTAGGCGAACAAAATTAGTTAACTCCATATTGGTACGCGTACTTCTGAAGCGCCCAGAAAAACATCAATAAACACTAAAGTGTATCACAGGAATAGGTATTATTGATTCCTCCTACACAACCTATGACCATAACATGCAGCTGTCATTCATAAAATCAATGAGAATAATCAATATAATAAGAAGCAAATGCTATTTTCAAATCTAATTTCCGCTTATATGCATTATACTTATTGAATAAAAATTATGAGTTTTGTTGCTATTTATGGGTTTCTAGTTGATGTTGAGTGCTTATGGTACTTGAATATTATAATAGGTTTTGCTATTTATGGGATGTATAATATGGGGGTTGTAATGAACAGGTACTGTTGTAGTGTGTGTACCAGGTTAGGGTTAGGCCATAATTTTATTTCGATTTTCCATATTTTAGTTCTATTAGTTCGGGACTGTCTGTGTTAGCCAAGTGAAAAGATGTAAAGTAGGCAACTTGATGTAAAGTAGGCAAACAAAATTGGTTACCTTCATATTGGTACACATATATGGTGGCCCATCGTTGTCACGCGTAAAATTGAAAATAAAAAGAAAAAATAAAATAAAAAACCGATAATAAAATTTTTTTTGTAAAAAAACATAAAAATAATTAAAAAAAAAATTTAAAAAAAAAAATCAAAATTAAAAAAAAATAAATAAATAAAAACGAAAAAAAAAAAAAAAAAAAAATTAAAAAAAAAAAAATTAAAAAAAAAAATTGAATAAAAAGAAAATAAAAAGGTTGACAACGATGGTCCGCCTCGTGGCCCATCGTTGTCACGCATTTTTATTTTTAGAAAATTTGCTTCTGCTTGGGACCAACGTTGTCAGGCATAATCCTACGCGCACAAATGTGTTCCCTGGGTTTCAAACTCACTACTGATTTTCTTGAGCAATATTCAATATGAAAATGTTCTATAAATTCTCCATGCTACAAGTTCAACAAGAAGTAATATATTTATAATAATGATAAGAGAATATAGAATTGAATACGAAAATTCGGAAAATTTGTTTTTACGTGTATAAGGTAATTTAATTGGAGAATGCTGCTTAACTACTCAGTTGTCTGGACACTCGCGATGCCGGTACCGTACCGTCTTACCAAATACCGGTAGTCGGTTATAGTCGCTTTGCGTCTGACCGTACCGGTAGCCATACAATCACTCATCATCTCCCATTCTTTCACGAGTGATTGCATGGGTACCGGTACGGTCAGACGGTACCGTACCGGCATCGCACGAGTGTCTGAGCAGTTAAGCAGCATTTTCCAATTAAATTACCTTCTACATGTAAAAACAAATTTTCGTATCCAATATATATATTCTCTTATCCCTATTATAAATATATTGCTTGTGGTTGAACTTGTAGCATGGAGAATTTATAAAACATTTTCATGTTGAATTTATTGGATATTGGTCATGAAAATCAGTAGTGAGTTAGAAACCCAGGAAACACATTTGTCTGACAACGTTGGTCCCAAGCAGCATCAAATTTTCTAAAAATAAAAACGCGTGACAACGATGGGCCACGAGGCGGACCATCGTTGTCAACCTTTTTATTTTCTTTTTATCCAATTTTTTTTTCAAATTTTTTTTTTTTTTTTAATTTTTTTTTTTAATTTTTTTTTAATTTTTTGTTTGTTTTATTTTTCAATTTTTTTTTTTAATTTAAATTTTTTTTTTTTTTTTTTTTCAATTATTTTCATGTTTTTTACAACTATTTTTTTATTTTCGCTTTTTCATTTTATTTTTTCATTTTTTTTTTAAATTTTACACGTGACAACGATGGGCCACCATACACATACTTCTGGAGGGCCCAAAATCCACTAATTCACTATTCTGAATACATCTTAAAACAAAAGAGAGATGCCCAAATATATGAACAGGAAGGCCAAAACAACGTAGTACGGCATGTAATCTTTTATAGAAGAATACCAGTCACTATTTTTGATGGCGTCATGGCAAGGTATATTTTGATTAGTAGACCTGAAATCTCATTTTGATCAAACAATTCAAGCATAAGGAAGTGAAAACACCCTGTGAAATAAATTTATCGGGTAATGGAACTAGGAAGAATGAGGAATTTTCTTAAATAGAGAAAGGTATGCAAACAAAATTGCATCAAAATCAGTTTTACATCTAGTATTGGGGCCTCCTTCAATTGGTCTGTGCTTCTTTTAGGTGGCCAAGAGCCCCCCCCCCCCTCTAAACTCTAACTAGAGTTTAAATTTCACAAAATGTGTTTCATACAAGTTATTTGACATTCAGTCAAATATTAATTAATGTTTGTCTCCTCAAATCCCATGAGATTTGCTGTAACTCGACTGATAAACGCATGCCAATGTTATTAAATCTTATTCTTCAACATCATCATTGCGGATATCAAAAGTCACAATTTTTGCATTATCAGTTTTTCGCGTTTTCACTTGCATAACCTAGCAACAAAAAGCATTTGTTTCCCCTGTTGCCGACACCATTGTGACACAACAATGTCTATCTCCACAGGAGATATTGGTATCTTAGGTTACACCAAAGCCTCTACTGAAAATTCATTGGACAACTCTTTTCTTGCACAAATGATCTGATTAAAGGCAACATAAGAATGGCACCAGATATTTTGTTTGTGGCAATATTGTTATTAACGGTGGCATTATTAAATATAATTTGTGAGATCACCATAACAAAGTGTGGCAAAGTGACTCGTTGTTAACAGTGGCATCAGTATTATTATTTGTGGCATCATGATAATAAAGCGACAAATTTGCCACGATTTATGGCAGCGGCATCACCACTAAAAACCCATTACTAATTCCACTAGACGTCCCCACAAGGCATTAATAATTTAAAGAATTCCAACGTGGCATATGCTCAGTGACATCTACGGCATGAGAGAAAGCTAAGATACACATCCTTGCATTATTCATGAATTGCTAACATGAAGAATTGAAAAATTTAAAATTTAATTTGGATGAGAACCCAAGGTCAAAGATGATTGAATTTGTTTTAGACATTTCTGCCCGTGCCTTGAGCAAATTTAACGATTCATGTTACGTTAAAAATCGAAATTTCACTCGCTCGTTGCAGCAATAACTCTGGATGCCATGTTAGGTTGTCAATATATGATTACATCCTAGTTTTTAGGCCTTTCCACGCCTTTTCCTCCTAACAGGGGCCCAATCTAGAACAAATATCATATTTCTCATTTTCAGGCAATAGGGAATAGTAAAAATATTTGAATTTAGCTAGCCTTGCCATCACACATACAGCTCAATATCTTAATCAATCTTAATTTTATACCCAGAGGAATTCATTAATTGAAGATGGGAACCACATCAATCATAGTATGGGACTTCAATTAATATGTCCTTGGAACATCATGAGAGCAATGAACTCAGTTTAAACAAAATTTGAAATCATCTAAATAAGTGTCCAAAACAAACAAGTATTCAATATGAATGAAAAAATCTGTTTACAGTGCAAAATAAATTTAAAGTCTGCCTTATAGTGCGTAAAATACTGTTCCTGAAAACCTTATTTTGTTCCTGTATTTGCAACTATAGTTAGAAAATGATAAGGTTTCAGAGCGCAGCCAGGATGGGCCTCAAAACCGAGATGGAAATTGTCATCTAATGAATTCTAAAACAGTCAATGGGATTATGCAGTCGATAAAAAAGTTGTATTTTTCAGTGTATAGGCTAAGGATTATCCTGTCATGTAAAATATTCAATCCATGACAACCACGAGAATTTAAAAGAGTGGTTCCCAAAATTGACCATGGGGGGTTGGCTTGGAAGGGGTGGGGGCCAAATTAAATCATAACGCACGCAGTAATTGGCCGGGGGTAGCGGTTTAGTGACCACTGATTTAAAATGAGTTTTTATATTAACTTAATTGTGGTCAACATATCTAGAGGTTTCGTTGACTTATGATGACATACTAAAAGCATTATTTCTAATTATTACAAAGTTAATCGACCAAGGGGGGAGGGGGGGGGGGGTTCAAATTAAAATTAAATTGTTATGTGTGCGGTAATTAGGCCGCGGGTTGGCTGCCAGTACAGAGCTCTGTTCAGAGTGAAAACATCAAATCCTGATTGAATTTCAACTTACCAGAGTGCTTTGAGTAGGGTATGTGCAAATTGAAGCAGAGTCTGATACACTTTTTGTGAGTTTTTTCGAATTTATTTCCTCCCCGTTTGTAGTTCCCCCTTTTTCGTTGTCTTTTAAAGACCTTTGTGATGACATAATACTTTTGCAATCACAAAACATCTCATCTGAGCTTGTGATACTATTCTCATTATCAGTGACGTCACTAGAGTTTTCTTCGGCATCGTGTTCACATTCTGTGACACCGATACCATTTTTCGTGACACAGTCACATTTATCTGTGGTATCTTTTATGGTAGAAGCGCAAATACATTCTGTGCATTTTTGTGCAGAAATACGTCCTTCACAGGTATTATCGTGATTTTTTTTTTCAATGGCGTTGCTATGGCCACTCGTTACACTTAGGTCAGTTGAAATATTTGAGCTACTGTTCGTTTGGGTTTGGTCTACTGGGCAAGTTCTTTGGCCATTACAATTAGAGACCTGAGGTGAAAAATTTTCTTGGGGTGTATTTCCTCTCTTAATATTATGTTTACATGAGTGACAAGTAACAGTCTGAACCGTGGCACCATCTGTACTATCCATGGCCTCACCATGGTCATAGTCACTTCGATTTGTGGCACCACGAGAAAACTTTATTGTGTAGTCATTTCTATTTGTGACATCACTATTACCATCTGTGGCATATTCATTTTTACTTGAGGCATTGTTGTCGACAATGACATCACTTTTCCGATCTGTGACACCATTGGGATGGCTCAAGACTTGTTCGGTGACAGTTTTCACTTGATTTGGTGCATCCTCCCTGGCATTTCCTGGTGAATCCATTATTTATTCCTTGTTTGCAATCAATTGAGGAAAAATTCTGTTAAACAAACAAAAAGAGTCAGGATACCCATGCTTGTCCAATACAGTACAGTGCAACACACACTTCCAGTGGACATGGCATGAACCATTTATGCGCGCTTTATTCCTATCTGACAATGTCACAAAGCTTGCCAAAATATCGTTACAGTTGCCCCAAATAGCGTCTCCCAGATCGGGATAGTTTCAACGAGGAAATGAGTGAGATTATGACTTTATTATATACAACATAGCTTGCTTAATTTTGGGTGACTGTCTGAGATTTGCACAGGCGTCCTTATATTTTGGCAGGCATCATTACGTCACTGTGACATTGTGGTGTTGCTATTTTTGGATGACCTAGTCAGATGGACGTCAGGAATGACATATCCAAAAATTTTAAACCAAGACAACTAGAAGGACCTATGGTAATACATTATCTCGGGCCCCCCCAGGCTCACAATCTCAACCACGTTGTGATAATTTCAGTCGCTAGTGGTTCCCAAACTTTGTGTCGTTATCCCTAATTCAAATTACCAAGAGCTCAATTATCCCCCCCATAAAAATAAAATTTCCAGCAATTTTTCACTGACTTAATGCGAACACTATGCGACCAGCTTTTCTGCAGACCAGCGAAAAGGACGAAAATTAATCGTCAAGACAGTGAACATCTGAATTACCCCCTAAAATTGTCAAATTACTAATTATCCCCAGTTTGGGAACCACTGCCTAGACAAAGTCAAACTGAAATATTCCACCCCGTCCAAACTACAGCGGCTCCTAACATAAGCGCATCTGCTTGTACAGAGCCTTGTTCAGAGTAACCAGTGTATAAAGCATAAAAAAATTAAATCCTACCTTTAGTATTGAAGATTCCTATCTTGTTAGGACTGGACCCAATTCAATAGGGATACGCCAGTTGTAGATAACTAGTTTAAATATTTAATAATTAAGCCATATTATCTGTAAAAATAGGTAAGTTTTTATAATCATAGATGGTAAGACTGCTTTATTATGTGCTGAACAACAGTCACCAGTAACTGTCCAGAATGGGGGCCAGGGCAGTAGCATTACGGGGGTCCTTTTTTGAAATGTAAAAACAAGCACTTTTTTTGTATCATACATAGTATTTTTCCATTTCAGCCCCCCCTCCCCCCCCCCCCCCCATTGAAAACTCCTGGCTACACCCCTGATGGGGTTATTTAAGAGATTAATCGGCTCAGATGCATGAACTTGATGGTGAAGAATGCCGTAACTGACTGGTGATTATTAAAACAAACATACGAATTATACGAGTTACGCAAACTTTTTTTGCATAAGTGGGATAAGACATGACCTCCCTATTTATCCCGATTAGAAATAATGATGTAAAGATATGGCCATATAGCAAATCATATCCGATTGCCATCTCAAGTAAGGGATGGCGGTTTATGGGAATCGCTATTTGTTACATATGCATTGACTTTAATATGGAGGAAGCCGTAACTGATAAGCAGTTATGTAAATCAAAGTGTATTGTGTAGATAGTTATTTACAGTAAATATCTTCCACAGTATTCAAACCTGCAAACCGATGCAGAGTATATAGACATGCAGTAAGCAAAGGCGTTACTAATGCTTACCACAAAAACCTAAACCTCAAAACCAGTATTTCCTGTGTGATATTAACACCAATTGCGTCATAAGTCGTTTTCCGGAGAAATAAAAACAACATATTACCGTATACACGATTTGCATATGTTGAATATTGAGAATGATTTGATAATTCTCCATTTGTATTTTCAGAAGATAAAAATGAAAGTTGGTTTGCTATACAATAATTTTTTAATTGGTCAAACCGTGGCAGAGCTCAAATAAAATTATCTTGAAAAATGAAAAAATTTCAACTTGATATAATTCCTGAAGTTCACAAATTTAGTTCCTTATTAGGAATTCAGTAATTCAGTTAACAAATCATTTGATAAGGTAATGAGAAAAAGTCTTTAACAGTTTCTCTATTTTTACAGTTTTTTTTTACAAAAAGGCCATTTAGTTTAATAACGAAATTCCAATCGCCATCGAATATGACCAGTTTTGCATATATTTGAATATAAATTGATTTGAAACACACTAATCCTTGTGGGATCTATTTTTTCTAGTTTTAAAGTTATCATAATTTAAAAAAAAAGTGTCTATTCAGATCTACCGTAAACTTTAATAAGCTTCCTGAATGATATGAACGAAGTATACATCTTGAGTCTTTTTCCGGTGACTGCAAACAAAACATTGCACTGTGGTTCGCCTTGTTTCTGGAGAAATGATCACAACGCCCAAAGCAATGACTGTGCCGGTCTGGCTATTTCAATAAGGGTGGGGGGTACGGTTTCTTCTCTTTATTAACCCCACTGGTTTAAATCCTAAGAGATAGAAGGTACGCGCATGATGCTAATAATTAGGATTACGATTGCCATCAGCCCATCACACTTTGGTAATCATGATATTATAGCAACCGTACTTCTGACGCTGATGCCAAGGTCTTCCTTTGGGCCAATGACTTCATGATGACGACACGTCTCATGTTTCATTTTGTTGAACAGTTCAGAAAGCGTGTGTTTATGGAAGGATGTCTTAGTTTAGCAGAAATGAAATCATAGTTGATTGCTTGAAATGAATATATTCCAAAGTGGATAAAGCAGTGGTTTTCAACCGATGTTCCGCGACACCCTAGGATTCTGCCAGTACAGTCCAGAGGCTCCACTAGACATCATACAAATTCAAGAGCCCATAATAGTGGTTCCGAACCTTTTTTGCGTCGCAACCCCCTTCGGATATTTTCTAACATGCCCCGACCCCTTCCACAATATATGCTGTATTTAAATTAAAACTAATAGGTCCTAGAAAAAAGGATATTAAGCTTCAATGCGTTTTCTGCAAAATAGTTCAAATACTATCAATTATTTTAATATCAGAGTATCCTAAAAATTAATTTGTTCTATAACTGCCTTTGAGTGCACTATCATTCCTATTCAATGAGTATTTTTAGCGTATTTTCTGTCTATCAGGCCAATTTTCAAGACCTTTGGTTTTTGGCCAGAAAATACCGGAGCTGCCACATCTACAAACATTTCCTGCCGCAACCACAAATTCAATGAGGGAATTCAATAAAAAAATGGTAGCCACAGAATCATAGTCAAATTAATGCGTGCTGCCAACAATTAAGATGTCATGGTGGAAGGAGTGTTCTGAAGTGGACCCTTGATTGGGATTGGTCAACCCAAAACCTTAAAAATTGGTTTCTATTGTTTTTCATTTTTCTACCCAAGAATAAATAAATTTTTTCCACACCTACCGGTAATTAGGATAGATTTTATAGAAAAAAGTCATACGTAAAATTATTTTGTTCTGCGACCTCCCGAAAAGTCGCGACCTCCCGAAAAGTCGCGACCCCCAGGTTTGGAACCACTAAGGTTATATTGTTGCATGTATATTGTTCAACCGTAATTAAATACTTATAAATTTGCTATTTTACTTTCTGTACTTTAAAGATCATTTTGTTTTGTCAGTATTAGATTTCCTTTTATATATGTTTAAAGTTAACAATTAATTAAACTATTTCACAGGGAATTCCTTAAGCAATGTTTCATTGGAGTGTTCTGCCCCACCAAAAAGGTTGAAAACCACCGAGTTTACCACGCTGGCATCGCAAATTGAAGATCCCTGGCCAAATCCATGCCAACCTTATTTTCACATCCATCTTTACGAAATATAGCGTCTTAAAAACAAGTGCCTGCCTGTATAAGGCTTCCGTAAAGCGAAGTAGATAAAGCAAATAACCCACCCTTCTCTATCTCTGTCCTCAGATGACAACCACAGGTCCTAAGTTTCGCTAATGAAAATGTTTTCATTTGGTCATTCCTGACTTGTTTTGCCTGTATTATCATTCACATATTACATCCATATTTCAACTCATAAATCATGTAGTAAACAGTATCGATTAAATATTAAGTAATGGTGAACGGCAGATAGTGTAAACACTGTAGTGAAGATTAACAAAAGTGTCCCAGAAGTCTTAAATTATCAATATCCATGGAAAGATAGCAAAAACCAATTTACTATTCCGACCGAATGTATATAAATGTGAATTTTAAATATGAAATTTAATTTTCAAAAAAGGACGTCAATTTATCGCATGAGTTTGAAATAGGAAAAGCTTGAATACTCGATATAGGCATATATTAGGACTGATAGCCTATTTTTCTGGTTCCATTACATTTGAACCCACGTACATTTGAACCCATGACAATTGCACCTGTATGCTATTGCACCTATGTAATTTTTTTTGTTTCACGGATAGTTAAACCCATACTAACCCTAACCCATGGGTTTTAGCACCCGCATATAGATTGAACCCGTGGATATACGCATGGGTTCAAATGTACGTGGGTTCAAATGTACGGTCACCTATTTTTCTAATTCTAAAATTTTAACAAAAACACAGTGCAGCAAATATTATTATTGGAAAAATAAGGGAACAACAAACCAAAAAAAAACTATATCTTGCTACCTTGAATGTTACTTAATATGTATAATTGGCAGTATAAGATTATTCCAACTAGTCACAGTTCAACAAGTAGAATTCTCCAAAAAATATATATTTTTCTAATTCAGTATAATACAACCTCAACTAAGTCTGCACAGAAAATTAATAAAGTGAACATTGACAGCACCGACATTTGCACATTAGCCTAAATATATACCGACCAGTCATGGTCTAACAAATATTAATAGAAGTGGGAAAATGTTTCCAAAAACACTGAACCATAGAATCTATATTTTGCTACCTTCAATTTCACCCCAGTAATTGACAATCTCCCCAGGATTTGACAGCACATGTACATTCATAATAGCATAAGAATATTCTGGCCAGGCCAAATCTTCTATAGGTAAGGAAAGCTTCACAAAGTACACTAAACCAAAAAATCTATATTTTGCATGATAACATTTCACTCCAGTAATTGACAACCACCCCTGGCTTTGACAGCATAGGTACATTCATTTAAGCATAAGAATATTCTGGCCAGTAACAGTTCAATAACACTTCTGAAGGTTCCCTAACCACACCATGACAAAAAATCTATACCTTGCTACCTTCAATCCAGTAATTGACAATCCTCGCGGCTACTCATTTATTATTGATCAGAAGTATTGATTATCCGACGTCTACCTTGAACTAATGCTTTTGGTTAGATTGCCTTGTGTACAGTATGGAAGGCCAATATTGAATGATTCGGCGCGGAGGTGTGGCTCATCGTGCTAAGCGTTAGGAATACGCTCGCCACCGTACCTCTGGTTACTCTACGTGGGTTCGCAGGTTCGAATCCCACGCAGGGATGGTTATGTGCGAGAGGATTGCTGGACTCTTCGCCGCCGTAGGGTGGTTCACGTAACCGCTGGTCAGTTATGGCTTCCTCCACCATCAAGTCCATGCTTCTGAAAACAAATAACTAACTAACTAATCCCATACTGGAAATAGACTGGTAACCGGACGAGAGGCCGTGGTTCGCCATATGGTTAAGCCGTCTTATCGTCATTCCTCTCCCCCGGGATAAATATGTAAACCCTATCCTATCCACTGCTGATTAGGAATTTTGACATTTATTCGGTGAGAGGTGAGCCATCTTATGGTGAACTACCGGTAATCCCTCCCATGTATTGGAGGCCAATATTAAACAAGAGAGAGAATGGGAGATGCTTAAATATATGAACATGGAGTCCAAAACAAAGTACCGGACAAGAGGTCGTGATTTGCCATATGTTCAACAAGCTGTCTTATCGCCTTTACTCTCCCTCGGGTCACTCTTGGCAGAATAAAAACCATATTCCAGCGAAAAATAAAAATATAGCGAAGTTTGGTTGAAATATCAGATCTGATAAATATGATTCATAGAAAATTTTGGAATAAATATAAAATTAATAGCCTTCTAGTG